CCAAGGCTTCCTTCTTCTAGTCCATGTCCTGCCTGTCAAAAGGCCTGGCTATTCTTTTTTCACAATGTTTCTTATACTTTCTTTTTAAATACAGAGCAAATTTTATGATCTCAGATTGGACTATTCTTCTTATTTTTACATGACATAAAAGTGTCCACTTATTATTTCCCTGCTCTCAACACCATGCCCCTTCTAAGACTTACTTTGTTAGAATCTGCATTTTACTAAGAGTCTTGGGTAGACCAAAGTCTAAGAAGTCCTAAGTTATGTGCCAAGGGTGTTTGCCAAATACTTTGCAATCATTGTATCACTTGATTTTAAATCTTATGAATTAGGGACTATTATTATACCCAAGTACATGTGGGCAAATTGAGGTTTAGCAACAATACAAGAGTTGCCTCAGGTCATCAGCTAAAGTTTAGAACACTGTGAGAAAATAATAATGAAGTCATGAAAATGTGAATGCACAGTCAGGATGGGCCGCACTGAGGAAATCAAGCTGTATTATGGAGGATGAGTGCGAATGAGCCAGGCTAAGAGAGAAGGGGTGGGGATATTCCACAGAGGAGTTAATAGCATGTGCAAAGGCCCTAAGGAGGGAAAGAAATGGTGCTATTTCCAGAACAGACAGGAAGACAGGACAGATGCAGAGTCATGACCATTGAGGAGAATACAGTGGTAAAATGGCCTTTGAAACATGCTCAGGAATTTGATGAATTTTCAGTGAGTGCCATGGGAAACCCTGAAGGTGTTAGGTGTATGGGGAGCTATCAGAGTTCAAAGACTTCTCTTGCCATTCTAAGGAGAATGGAATGAAGAGGGAAGAGTGCATATGAAGTGGTAGGCTGGTCTTCAGGACCTGGGCGCATGCCGGTGGTGGAGGTTTGACTAGGGAAGTACGAGTGAGCCTGCTGAAATGGATGAGTCTGAGACAGCTGCTTGGAAACAGAGCAGATAGGCCTTGGGTTACATCTTTAACATGAGGGCGGGGTGCCCTTTGTGGAGAATGATAGGAGGGCCACTATACATCTCTGCTTTTCAGAGTCTCCTTCCTTGCTCCATCCCCCTTCCTTCCTTCCTTCTTTCCTTCCTTCCTTCTTCCTTCCTTCCTTTCCATTCCTCTCTCTGTCTCCGGTGGAATATGACACTGAGACTGAATCACCCTAACAACTTGTAAACCACAGACTCTCTGGAAGTGCAGGAATGCACTAACAACCTTGTGCTGTCATATAGAGGCAATCAGTAAACCTCCTTGAGTGTTTTTTATCCTCTAAGGAGAGCTGTTCCTAGGAATGTTCCAAGGCTGATACAGAGTGGATAGTGCCCACTAGCATGGCTCAGGAGAAGGTATTGAATGAAAAGAACTGGATGCTCAGGTTGGAGGCTCAGCACTGACTTGATTCCTGGTCTGGGAAGGGAAGTCAGGTTGTCTTGCCAGCCCAGTAAGATCTGAAGGGCAATTATGCCTCTATAGCTGCCTCCTAAACCTGTTAGCCTCCTGCATAAGGAGGCTTCCCTGACTTAACGATTCAATAAGTAAGGAGGGCTGAAAAAGAATTGTCACAGCTAACTGTTTGAGAGCTAACCGACCTCCACAAGGAGAATACAATTTTTACCATCCATTTTGAAAATGTTGTATTTCTTGTTTGATTTTCTTCTTGTTTCTAAAAGTGTCCTTCAGACGGTGGTAGGTGGTTGAACCTGGGGTTAAAAAAGCAATTTTCCTTTTATCCTAAAATAGTAATTTTAGACATAGTCACATATAAAATGACTAGCAGACTTAAGACATACCCTGCCTGCCAGATAAGAATGTTTTCGAGATTTTGATTCAGAGCTATTAACAGATCTTTCATAGGTTTCAGGTGTATTGGTTATTTGCATTTAGAGCAAATGAGTTGTTTTTACATCAAATCCCAAGAATTTCTTACCACTAAAGATGTATGAAAATACATGTCACACAAGGCTCTTTTATTACATTAATTTTTTTCCCCGAGGGGAAAAGGAATGATCTTATACCCCACATCACTTTTATTCATAAGCTAGTTCATTTGTAAGTATATCTTCCTTGAGCAGAAGTGTATTAGAAGCCCCGGAGGAGAGATTTCTCTTTACAATGCACAGGGAGTCAGAAAGTATGACTGAGCTAGCCTTTTCTTGTTGCAGGGTTGGTCATTGTCTGCTTTGGGGTATTTTCATTCTTTGGTACCACAACCTTCTATCAATAAGATTAACCTACTGGGTTTATTATTCACCTGTGCTCAATGACTGGCATTCACTCTACTGATCTTTGGATTGACCTGTCTTTTGAACACCTCAGGAGTGATTCAGATCAGTTTCCCTGCAAGTGATCTGAAATTTGACAGCAAGGTTTGCCTGACCAATGCCAAATTCAGGAATATAAGCTGCAAGCATGCCTGGCATAAATGCATCCAGCTTAGTAGATAATCTAGGGAAATCACATACCAGGGAAGAGTTTCACCTCAAAGAAACACAAATTTTGGTTCCTATGTTTAGGATACATAATCTGATGAAGATGATGGATTGCCTCCCCTGCCCTTTGTTTTTTTCTCTGTGAAATTTTATCTGAAGTCTCAAACTGAAAAAGGTGATCTAATTTTCTTAGACTCTCTTTTGCCTTTCCTCTTCTGTTTCCATTATCTGTAAGAAGAAAACTTCTCTATGATTTTCTAAATCTTTTAGAAAACCAGTAGAGACACTTGGTAAGTTTGCAACCCTCCACCTTTGATATTTAATTTTTCTGTTCTAAAAAGTCCCTGAGTAGGGCCAGCAGAGTGACTCAAGTGGTAAGAGGGTCTGCCTAGCAAGGGTGAGACCCTGAGTTCAAACCTCAGTGCTGGAAAAAAGAAAAAAAACAAGAGTTCCTGATTGATTTGGTGCATACCTGTGATCCCAGTACTTGGGAGGCTGAGGCAGGAGGAGGTATGATTGTTTAATTGTAGTAAGGAGTCACCAAATTGTTCTAGAGATGAGCACTAGGTTCTTTGGGGGAGCTTTAGTTGACACTGCTTTTGATGTCATTTCGTTCACTAAACATTTCCTCAAGCACTTACCCAGCACCACATGCATACTGAGCATTCATTGATTCAAAGACACAACAGAGCTCTCAGAACTGAAGAGCTTTACATTTGACAGACATTAAATGGCTTGTACATGGCCTTACGGTAAAGCCAGGAGAACACCAGAGCCAGAGGCTGTTCATGACTACCTCTTGGTCTTTTGCTGTTAAGTGTCACCCAGCATCCACCCACAACTCATTCATATGACCTCCCTTCTTTATCTGGACTTTTCTTTTCTGTTTCTGTGCAAGCACCGGATGTTCTCTTTCTTACAACTCATTTTCCAGAATTTGAGATCCATACCCCATAGATATCTTTGACCCTCTTCTCAAACTTTTGGAGCCAAAGCTCTTCTAGTGTGAAGCCAGGTTTGGGTAAAAAATCTCTGAAAAAATGGGTCAGTGACTACTAGGGCACTGTGAACTGAAGTTCTCTGAAGAAACCGAATCTAAAATAAAGATCCTGCAGACTACTTGACTTTGGCTGAGTAGAATAACATGATTGCTGAGAGATGGAACGCAGTAGGTCAAGTCAAAAATTTCTTGGGCTATCCTTAGTCCCTTTTAACAAACAGCCATTTATTTACTTTCCACCTCTGTATCTAACATCCCCTTAACTCTAGAATGTAGGCTTTTCCAACCATATAGCTAAGAATGTGATAAACACAGTATCAACATCTAAATCGTACAAATCCCCCATCTTGCTGTAGCCCACCTACCTGATTATTCCAGCTATATACTTTTTAAATACATTGATTTGTGACTTTCTTTTCTGTGACTATAAAAATTCATTTAACCTTTTCCATGGTGAAATATGTCATTCACAGTAACTTGAATCTGTGTTCCCAGACCATTGTCACTCATGTTAGGTTCAGAATAAACTCTTCTTATTTCCCTAAAGCAGAGTAGGCATTTTTACATCCACAGCCCCTCTTATCTTTCTTTTCCTATATCTACCTTGACCCCTACCACCAAATTAAAGTACCCAGCCAAAGCTAACATTCTTTTTATATAAGAGTAAGTAGGACATTGTCACACTTGCAAGATCAAGTCTCACATTGGAGGCTGATGAGAACATGGCTGCTGAGATTTAAACAAAATAAACATGGTACAATGTTAACCACTTAACAGTATCTATTTAGTTATAGGATTGACACATAATCAGGGAACACTGGCCTCTCACTCATCATCCATATACCCACTAATTCACCTATCTACCTGCCAGCCTACTTAATCTTGCTAGAATGGATTTGAGCAGCAAAGTCTAAGGAAACACCAGGGTGACTTAATTACAAATGGAAGTCTTATTGATGAGATGGTCAAACAAAAAAACAAAAAAATGCAAAAATTTTAACCAAATAATGATATACATTTCATAAAACTTTACAGTGTATAGATAGTATATTGATAAATATTGACAACATTTTTTCCTTATGCTCTTTTTAATATAGGAGTAATCCCTACCATTTCTGCTTCATCTCTTACTCTCTTAATATCAAAAGGAAATGGCAGGAATTATATATACATATACACATATATATGTGTGTGTGTGTGTGTGTGTGTGTGTATACATAAATAGATAGAGAAATAGCTGTTGCTCTTTTTGTAACTTTTGTTACTTTTATTCTATTATAAAAGCAGAAAGCCTTGACTCTATGCCCATACTGACCAAGCGTGAAATCATAAAGCATTGTTTTCCTACTGAGAGGGCAGCTGGAGGGCAAAAATGAAATTTCTTTCTATTAGTTAGCCATGACAATTGATGGTGAAGAAAATCTCATGCATCATTTACAAATCATGTGTAAAGCAGCAGACATATAACAGGCCTGTGCCAACAAAGGGCATTAGGACAATTCCTTGGGTTGTGACAAAAATAGCCAGTCAATCTTTCCCCAAATTCAGAAACCAAATTGCAAGCCCTTACCTTGGAGGGCCTGTAAGCTATGAGTCTGTACGATAATGCAGAGCTGCAGGACCAGCTGTGGAGCACTTTCCAGAAAGGTGGCTAGCAAATGCAGCATACTCACATCGGCATACTCATACACCATTTTCCAGTAAAACCTCCATCTGTCATTCTCCCCACTCTGCCGGCTCCGAATACCTAAGTATATTGTGTGGAAATATCTAGAAAGAAAACAGAGAGAGAGAGAAAGAAAGAGAGAGATGAGTGATAATTTGTAATTCAAACTCCAGGGTTGTTTTTCTTTTCTGCAAGTACTCCAGATGCAAGCACACACATGAAGCAGATAACTTGGTGACTTCAAGTTCAAGCTCAGAGTTGGCTGCTTTACCAGTACCCTTACTCTTAAGTGCTCACTTTGAGGAGTCACTGCAATTTAAGTTCCTCTTTAAGATATTCCATTGAATTGCAGTATGATGGGCTCTCAGGTATGGAAGGGATTTGCTACGTTAAAAATTCACACCCCTTCTTTCGTATCAGACTTTCTATGTGCCCAAAAGAAACCAAGAGGTGGGTTTCTCCTAGAACACAATGCAAGTCTGAAGTTCGAACATGTATGTGCTTTTAAACCTTCCCTGTGTTTTCAAAACCTTTTCTTTATGGAAAATTTCATATATTACAAAAGGAGAAAAAATAGGTTAATGAACCCACTATAGCTTGCAATTATATTAGGGAATTATCAACATATTGCCAGTTTATTTTCCTTGTATACCTGCAGTTACTCTGCTACCAGCAAACCCTGGGCAACACGTTATTTCATGTGCAAATGTTTCATTAAAAAATTTAAAAGCCAATACCATTACCAAACTTATAATGGTAATAATTTCTTTCTTTTCTTTTTCTATCTTTCTTTTTTTTTTTGCAGAACTGGGGTTTGAACTCAGGGCCTCACATTTGCTAGGCAGGTGCTCTACCACTTGAGCCACACCGCCAGCTCTGCAATAATTTCTTCATATGACCAAATACTCAATGTTGCCATTTTCATGAGTATCATAATTCTTGTTAGTTTGAAAAGCAGTCTAAGCAAGAAGATGTCCATCTGCATATGATGATTATCTGATATGTGTCTTAATCCTCCTTTATGCCACGGATTCCCTTTCTATTTTTATTTCTTGTGTATTTTTCTTTATCTTGAGATTGAAGATTGTATACACACAGTGTAGTTTGTATATCTACAAACTACATTTGCGTTTTCTGCAAATGAGTAGTTACTGACAGAATTTGGATGAGAACCAAATTTGATCATTTTAGGCAGGTGATAAAGTGCATTTTCATCAGGAGGGACAACATAATTAGTTGTTGTCTTTTATCATGTTACCATCCATTGACCATGCTAAAACCAGGGTTGCAAAATGGTGATAGTCTGAGTCAATCACTCTTTTTTGCTTATTTTCCAAGACTTCTGGAGTAGTAGTATTTGGTTGTCTGCAGCTTGCTCTATAGTACATTAGTTAAGAAAGGCTCCTAGAGACAGGAGTCCTTGATTCTTGTGTATTCATAAGAGTACAGGGTTATGTGGATATGGATTAAGGTTCCTTCAGTTACACAGATCCTAACAGTTTTAGCTGGGGATTGGAGCCCACTTCTAGAGTCTATGAAGGAACTGCACTTGCCCTGGGAAGCAGAGGAGCAGAAAAGCCTGGGCACCTTTTTTTACTGGAAGGTCAAGGTTGCAAGGCAGAATGTGAAATTTATTTATTTGAGAATTATACATTTTGTTAATTACTTGTTTACCAGCATAAAGTGTTGTCATGGAAAAGCCTGATAAAAAATCTGACATTCTTTGTCTTATAAGATCTTAGACATTTTTATTTGGACACCCAAAGTATATTGCTTCTTTTTAAATACAAAGAATTTTATTAGAATGTATCTTGATAATGGCTATTTCTATAATTTTTTCAGTAATGTGGTCTGCCTCTTCATTCTGTAGCTTTGAACTTCAATATGTAGTTTTAAATTTTCTTGAGTTAGAGTGTTTAATTTTTTTCCTAATTGGTTGCTTAGTTTTCTTTTTTGAGAACAATCACTTATATATGTATGTTCTACTTTCTTTTTCTATGTCTATTAATTTCTTCAAAATCCTTTTAATCTCAAATTGATTTTTGATAAAAAATTTCACTTCTTATCTATGGTATTTTAATTACATTATATCCTTTCTAGTTGAGCTTGCATTTATGATATGCATTTTTAAAAAATTAGAATTCTATGTTGAGTATTATCAAATGTCTTATCAAATCTTACTTTTATTCTACTTATTTTCTGAATTTTCTAATTCTGATGTATATTTTTCTTTCATAGCTTTTACAGTTTTTTTAATTTCTTTCAGCTCATTTTGATTATTTTCTTAAAATCTATTTGTGCATGTGTTTTCCTGGATAGGATATCTATCATTAGTTCCCTAATTCCTTTTTCTTGCTACTGAGCTTTAAAAGTTAACTCAATTTTCACGTACTTTTGGGAGAGATGAGTGGCTAGGATAATTTTTTCTGGTTTCATAGCTGTGGTGTGCCTTCTTCCATTGTTCTCATGAAGTGATTAAAAAAGTCACTTGCCAGGCATGGTGGTTCACAGCTGTAATCCCAGCTACACAAGAGGCAGAGGTAGGAGGATCATGGTCAGAGGTCAGCCCCAGGCAAAAATGCAAGATCCTACCAGAAAAATAACTAAAGCAAAAAGGACTGGAGGCACGACTCAAGTTGTAGAGCCGTGGCTTAGCAGGCTTGAGGTCCTGAGTCCAATCCCTAGTACCCCCCTAAAACCAAAAACAACTCTCCCCCTCAAAAAAAACTCCTGAGTATTACTTGTTACTTTCTGAGATCAGCTGTCTGTTTCCCCCTTCCTTTTTCTTTGGACAGTCTCTTTCATTTCATATAGTTGTTTGTATGCTGCTCAATTTGGAATCTAATCCCTGTAGATTCTCCTCAATGTGGAGTCTTGCTTTGGAAGGCTGTCTAGTTTGTTAGTTAATGAAATTGAAGGACCTAGAGTAGTAGCATTGGGCTTCATTACATTCTGGCCTCCTTGGGCTCGGCCTTGCACTGGATCATTGACAACACCCTCTGGTCTCTCCTGATCCTTCAGATTGACCCACTGCACTTCCCAGTGTGCACTGGCTGGGGATTAGGCAGTCTGTTCTCAAAAGTCCTTCCTTTTCTTTCTCCTGTATGGTTGTTGATACCACATGGATCTTGGAAGCTCTCACTCACTTGTCCTCAGGTAATTATGGGATATCGCCACAAGAAGTTTGGTGGCAGACATTGTCCATGGTTGTTCAGTATTGCCAACCCATGTGAGTGGGCTAATTTTGGTAGCTTAAAGACACCATGTTGTCACTGCCACCATATTTGCAGAACATATCATTTTAAAACACAAAACGAACTTAATCGCTCCCTTGGGTCTTTGAGTGCTCTGTACCAACTATAAGGTAAAGTTTTCAATAGTGTGACTTATAGAGACTTTGATAAACTGATCACTCCTCAGGGAGTGATCTCACCCTTCCACAGCTGCGGTTCGTGATTAGTTCAGTGCCACTTCCTTTCTCTTACCTCCGTAAGCTTTTTCACAGGCCCATTCTTTTCTGAGAATCCCTTTTGGAGAGCCTTTCCTTCTTTGACTGGCAAGCTCACTTTTTAACTCAGTCTCTGTTAGACTGTCATCACCAGTAATCACTCGGGCCTCGGTGCACCAGTACCACTCTACTTATTTGATAAGCTGCCTGAGGCTGCTTTAACAAAGTACTGCCAATTGTGTCTTAAACCACAGAAATTTACTGTCTCTTAGTTCCGGGGGCTCCAACCTGATGAAGGTGTCAGAAGGGGTGGTTCCTTCTGGAGGTTATGAAGAAGAATCTGCTCTATGCCTTGCACTTAACAGCATCTGATGATTTGCTGTCCATCTTTGCCATTCCATGGTTTGGAAAGTCATCAACCCAGTCTCTGCCTTTATCTTCACATGGTGTCTGTGGCTGTGCCATTTCTGTGTCTAAAGTTCTTTTTATAATCACACAGTCATATTGGATTTGGACCCATCCAATGACATTATCTTGATCATCTGCAAAGACCCTATTCTATTTCCAAATAAGGTCACTGTCACATGTACAAAGAGGACTTCAACATCCCTTGGGGAGGACACAATTGGACTCCTTATACTCTTCTATCAATGTCTTATCTCATTCAGCCTATGACTCTTCCTCTTGTATATGGAGATTTTCAAATCTACATTTCACATTTCATACCTCACTTGGGAACCAAATCCACATGTTCACCAGCCTTCCAGGTCCCTCATTAGCTTTCCTTATAAATTTGAACCAGCTCATATTCTAGGAGTGTACACTACCATCCATCAAGCTTTCTGGACTAAGCCTGGGAGACATTGTAGACTCCTAATCTCCCTCAACACTTATTTATATTAAATAACAGTCTATGTTCTGTAGCTTTGACTCCTTAATGTATTTTACCCCTCTTTTTTCTAGTGTCTGATTCTGTTTCTGTTTTGGTTCTGTAACCTACTAATCTTATGACTTTGAGCTTAGTGCATCTGCTTTAATCCTTCCAACTCTAATAGGGCAAAATAAGTACCAATCACCTAGGTTGATTTAAGAATTAAACGTAGTAACAGTGAAGGACTTAGCAAAGAGCCTAGTAGATAATAGGTATTCCATAAATATTAGCTCTTGTAGAATGACCTATCTCTAACAAAAATTGAATCCAATTTCTCCCATTTTAAAAACTTCAGTAACTCTCTACTGCCTAGCAGATTAACAGTAAGTCCAATATAGTAAACAAAATCATTTAATTTAACTTTTCTAATGTAAACTTTGGCCTGTAACTCCCAACCCATGTCTTATGTCCTCACCTTACAGAAGTATTCACTGCTTCCTGGATATGAACCCACTTTATTTCCTGTGGTTCTCTTGCTCTGGAATGCCTCTTCACATCCCTTATCACCTGGAATGTCTGCTAGTCCATAAAACTCAATAATATTTGTCTCTCACCTTCTTTTCCCATAGACTTCATAGACCTGGTCATTCCATTATTTGTGCTCAACTATCTTATTTAGACTTTGACCAGGAGAAAATATTATTTTTGTATTTATTGATCTGTGTGTTCATCTCATATGCTAGAACACAAACTCCCAGAGAAAAGATTGTCATTTATCTATGTAC